GAGCAAGTGCGGAAGGCTGAAATTTGCACAAGCCGCTCCGCTAAATCTAAACCAGGTCATGTAGGGGGGCGAGGCAAGACAACCATTCTCGTTTGAGAGCACTTTAGATTAAACGACATTTCCATGCCACCCTAAGAGCTTCTCTCATTGCCATTCTTCTTGGCTGCCGTTCGTGTACAAACCCATGGAAGGGGGACCTTCGCATCCGCGACAAAGCTGCGCGGTGCTTCCGCGCGACCTGAATCTTTCAAACCAGCTGAGCAAAGCTGCAGGTTCTTGTCGTGCTGATTGGGCTAAAATTTCAAGACGCAGCCAATCATCCAGAGCCAATGTTCAGGAAAAATGGAAACGAATGAATCGATTTCTGCAAAATGGATCAAAATGGTAATACTTTAATATACTTTATATATTTGTCGTGCACAATGGTGGACCTATATTGTTAACCTTGTCATTGCTTTTTGAGCCGGGTTGCCAAAGGTTCAGCTCCACACAGCAGGGATCTTGTCACATCGACAAAGAATGGTTGGCACGATTTTCTAGCATATTTTGGCAGGTTATGCTTTCGAACTCTCAAGCAAGTCGAGTCATCCATTCCTCTACAGGCAGGATTGACACATTCTTGGCGTGATGAGAGCTAATGACTTGTTGCAACCTCCCGCAGTTCAAAGCCTTGAAGGGACCAAGTTTGCCAAGGTGTTTGAGCAGGATTTGCGACATGCAACATAGGTAGATCTTCGCGGAAAGTCTTAGAACCTTTGGGTGTCGAAAGTTGCAAAAAAAGCGAAACACTGTACACAATATTTCAGGAACAAAAAGCAGCACCATGTGAACTGAACTATTGGCGGGTAACGGGGTAGACCATTTTTTGTTTTCAAACGCTCAAATTCACAGCCTGCCCAGCCATGGCGTTGTCTGATAGCAAAGGCTCTGTCACGCATTTGCCATCGAAACTTGGCCGAACTCCAATGCCGCTGTTTTCTTCGGTTTTTCTTTCAGGAAACAGACTAGCCACTTTGGCTGGGAGTGCCAGCCTGATTCAGGCTTGCAGATATGGTGTTTGGGTTTGTATGCTTCCTCCACACTGCGTCTAGAGATGTCCAGCAATGAGCAGAGAGGAAAGAAGCGGGCCTACTTGGCGCAACCAAAAGCCGACTGCGGTCAAACTTGGCCCTCCTTGGCCTTAAGTTGGGCCGAACAGGAGTTCACTTGGCTCAACTTGGGCGTAACTTGCGCCGAACTCGGGCCAGTTGGCTCCAAGTTGGACTCAATCTCAGCTTAACATGTGCAACTTGGTCCTGTGTGGGGGCATCTGGTGCCGAAGTTGGCCCCAAGACAACATGGCTTTGCATGAACCTCCATCAAAGCATTAGTAAAAATGCAAGTTTTCAGCATGTCAGCATTGAATCCGCACTTGGCCCAACTTGGACCCAACGGAGCCGAAGCTGGCGCCAATTGGTCATGTTGTGCTGAAGGTGGGCCCGAAGTGATCCAGATAGGTCTCAAATTGAAGCCATGTGATGCACATGGAAGTCGGAGTCACGCCCAAAGTGGGGCAACTTGGGACCCTTTGGCGGCAGCTTCACACCAATTTGGGCCCAACGGAGACATACCATGGGGAACATTGCTTCAAACCAAGCGTCATGGATAGCAACAAAACCTGGAAAGTACCAGTGAAAACGGGCGTTTTGAGGATTTCGGATTGGGGCCGGCTATGTCTCAATTTCGAAACCATATGGACTGCAACTTGGGCCGAAGTTGCCCCCACATGGGCCCAAGTTGGGGCCAAGCTGCGCCATCTTGGTGCCAAGTTGGGCCGAAGTTGGAGCCAAGTGGGCCGAAGTTGGGGCCTTGCTGGCCGAAGTTGACGCTAAGCGGCGCCGATGTTGCGGCCATGTCGAATCGAAACGGTGCATTCGGACGATGTTATGCCGATATGCTTGTTCCGGGCGAACATGCCCCCCCAGCTGAAGCTGCACCAGTGAAGAGAGGATTGTTCGAATCGATTGGTTCAGCTCCTAAACTATCATGCCTCGGCACCTGCGGCACGGGCGGATTTGGCGAAACCGATGTTTCACGGGGACTCAAAGATTAAATATCATGAATGTACATGATTGTACACTGTAAATTGGTTTCAAGTGATTGGGCATGTGTATTTGAAGGGCATCAGTCTTTTGTGCAAAAGACCCTGTGAGGACAATGATGGCCGACATTCTTGTCCAAAAATTCCAGTGCAGAGCGGGGTGATCTGAACAGCGAATGCAGACGCCATGTGGCCAAGGGGTGTCGAATCTTAGGTTTTGGCGGTTCAGTGCTGGATCTGGCAGCTGGCTCTCCATTTCAGAACTGGTCAGATATTAAGTCTTTTGGGCATTTAAAAAGATCGAAGGCTTCTGGAGCTGTTTGGGATTAATGGCAGGTCCTTCGTTGCGGGCCCCTGAGCACGGAACAGTGTGCTTTGTGGCGGGGCGTTGCATCCAAAAGGGTTTTACAGTAAATGGTTTTGAGAAAAGGAAGTGAGAAAACTTGTTTGAAAACCACATGGATGAGAAAACACTATACGAAACTATTATATAAGCAGCAAACTTATGGACGGGATCATGAAATCCTTGAATCTGTTCGGCCACCTGGAAATTGCTGACATTCAACCACAGCAGAGCGGCGTTCTTGGATCACCTCCCGGCAGGTTTGAGTTAAGCCATTGATTTTATTGTCATGCACTTCTGAGGCTTCTTGATTACCTTCGGATTGGAATGTCATTGCCAAAAGAAATCGGTTGTTTCACACAAGCCCGTATCATTCGACCGGTAATGCATATGTCGAAGTGTTCAGCTGGTTATTTGCAGACTTGACAGATCTGAGAGCCAAGTCTGAAACCAAGAGGACCAACCTCCGATATTCTGAACATCCTTTTTCTCAAATTCCTTCGCCTCCTTCGCATGAAAAGAGCGTTCCTTGCTCAGTGTTTGCTTGGAATCAATTCGAAAGTGAACAAACCTCCTCGACTCTTTCAACACATCGGGCAGATGAGTTTTGTGGTGCCTTCTTGATGTTGGCAACCGTCACAGATGGAAAGGATCAGTGCAAATATGCTAGGCCATTGCCAAAAAGAAAAGTGCCTGAGACGCCCAAATTGTGTCTGTGCCACTCTGGCATGCATGAATAGAATGGATGCAAAGTTTTCAGAGCGAGGATGGCGCTGTTGTGCAGTGATGCGCAAAACAACTAAAACAAAATGAACAGCTTGCGTCCTTGCGAATGAGTTCCAGTCACCACCAAGAGATGAACTGGACTATACTGAGTATATGCTTTGATTGACAATTTTATTGCCTCGACATCCCAAGCCTTGTCTTCATACGCCCCCCTGAGCGGTGTATTGGCCATGGCCACTGCCAGCACTGGTCTTGCAAACTGTGGGACATGCCAAGTTTCTTTCTCACAGGGAAGTTTTGGGCAAGCTTCCCTGTGCTCCTGAAGGCGTTGCCTTTGGTCAAGGATTTTGAATTCACTTCCCAGCTGCTTAGAATTATATAATTGCAGCATAGTCAAAGCAGACTGTTGGTTTGAAGATGTTTGAAGGTATAGATGATGTCTCTGTCATGTCAGGTGGTGTGGTGGCCGCACTCCCTCCATCAAGATTTGAAGGCAGTTGAAAGCCCCAGTCGCCATGCAGCGCTGTTTGCAGAGCGCGGTTGTACTCCTACACTGCCTACACTGTCTCTGTGCCAGTGCGTACCAGGTTGTACTCCGGTCAACTTTCAGCTACCCTGTCGCTTTTCTTCTCGACCCAAACATGGTTAAAAGCACAGGTTTGAGAGGCAACGCTCATCCGGCTGGAGGCCTGAAAACTTGTGCCGCGTGCTGTTCCACCAGGAGCAACAAGTGTCTAGAAAATCAATCACATCACAGATTTTGTTTTTGTACCCCTCTTTGCGGGTACCACCTTGAACAAGCATTGCAAAAACAAGTTGATGCATCGTCAATATGCCATTGTCTCGGACGTGGATCCCCCCAGTCCCCTTGAACCTCGCTTGGTTTGGTGGCTTTGTTGATCTATTGTGTCGCCTATAATCTCCCAATCTAGGTTGAACTTTCACGTGAGGCCGCATCATAAAGTTAGGTCCACCCTAGGAAACAATCGTGTCCAGCATGTAGATAGCTGTAGACAAGTAATCTCAATCTGCAAAAGTCCTTGCTGCCTTAGGTCCTTGACGCTGAATAAGCAGAGAATCCTCTTCCAGGGTTTTGAGTAATAGTGGGCGAGCAAGCATGAGGTGGACCTTCCGAGTTGAACCTCTGTTCAGTGCTTTGCGTGTGGGCAACGTCCATACATGCCGTGCTGCTTTTAGCCACTCTTTGCTTTTGTTGTCAACCCAAACAACGCCGAAAACGCTTGTATGAGAGGCAGTGTTCGTTCGAGTGGAGACTTGAAAACATGTGCCTTGTGACAAAGTGCTGTTCCGCCAGGAGCAACAAGTGCCTACAAAACCAATCACATCACACACGTTGTTTTCGAACTCCTCTTCGTGGTTGCTGCTTTCAGTGAACATTGCCAACTAATATGCCGTCAATATGCCATTGTCTCGGACGTGGATCCCCCCCAGTCCTTTGAACCTCGCTTGGTTTGGTGGCTTTGTTGATCTATTGTGTCGCCTATAATCTCCCAATCCAGGTTGAACTTTCACGCGAGGCCACATCATAAAGTTAGGCCCACCCGAGGAAACAATCGTGTCCAGCATGTAGATAGCTGTAGACAAGTAATCTCAATCTGCAAAAGTCCTTGCTGCCTTAGGTCCTTGACGCTGAATAAGCAGGGAATCCTCTTCCAGAGTCGTGAGTTCGCAGCTTCCAGCAAGCATGAGGTACAGGTAGACCTTCCGAGCTGAACCTCTGTTCAGTGCTTTGCGTGTGTTCAACTTCCATACATGCCGTGCTACTTTTAGCCACTCATTTGCTTTTGTTGTCAACCCAAACAACGCCGAAAACGCTTGTATGAGAGGCAA